ATGTAGAAAATATACAACTAAAACATTATTCTCGAAATTTAAGCCCAAAATTAGTAAAATAAATCCAACAATATGTTGTCTATAAAATTGACTGCAAAGACTGTAATTCCACTTACATTGGACAAAAAAAACAATATTTTCATAAAAATAATATCGTAACTAATAAGGAAAATTTTAGTGCCTTAACGTAAACATGCACTCTTTCGATTTTGAAAATGTAAGAATTCTCGAAAAGGAATTTTACAGAACTCGATCAACTTCCAGGCGAGAGTTACACATCAATGAATGTGTAAAATTATGAGACGATTTTCGGTTAGTCTTTTGCGATCGTGTCTGGAAAACCGTCGGAGACGACGTTCAGCTCGAGGTTGCGGTGCACCAGGTGTTGGGAGGGTCGTTTTTTGACGTGAAATTCGGGTTCGGCGCCCCAAAAAACCCCCCATAACGATTTTGTGTTCGTCTTCTTCGATTGTGTGAGGAAAGCCTCGGAGACGCCGTTCAGGGCCAGATTCCAGCGCACTAGGTGTTTGGGGGATCGTTTTCAACATGAAATTGGGATTAAGCGCTGAGAAAACGCCCCTATAATGATTTTTGGATTGTTTTTGGCAATTTTGTTAGGAAATTTCTCGGGGATGACGTCCACGTCCAGGTTAGAGCGCACCAGGTGTCCGGAGGATGTTCGCCGATGCCACATTTGAATTCTGCGCCTCAAAAAACCCCCCATAACGATTTTCGGTTCGCTTTTTTCGATTGTGTGAGGAAAACTCATAGAGATGTGGTCCGCGGACAAGTTCCGGTGCACCAGGTGTTCAGAGGGACGTTTTCGACGTGAAATTTGGATTCAGTGCCCCAAAAAACGCACCTACAATGATTTTCCGGTTGTTTTTGGCGATTTTGTCAGGAAAATTCTCCTAGATGACGTCCACGTCCAGGTTCCGGCATACCAGGTGTCCGGGGAGTGTTCGCCGATGCCATATTTAAATTCACCGACCCAAAAAATCCCCGGGCGCTGATTTTCTCTCCTTCCCCACGTGAATTTCGAGAGAGTCCTACGGAGATGATGTTCATCGGGGTTCCTGAGCTCCAGGTCGGCTGTGGGTCAATTCAGCGACCTCGAAAACCTTCGGGAACTCGATTTGGGCCAGTTTCTGACTCTTATTTACAAAGTTCTTTAGTCTTCCAATAGCCGTCTCAAAAAATACATTCTTTGAATGCATTTGTGGTTTGTATAAGATAAAAAGTAGGGACCTTTTTCCAAAAAATTTTTTGAAAGCGAATGCAAAAATCGAATTCCGATCCCTCTTATCAAAAAATTCCTAACTTTTTTGCTTCAATGCTTCGACTAAAAGAACAATCCTTGAGATGATACATATTAAAAAAAAAATAGTAAATCTCTGAATAATAAAAGAATTATCAAACGTTTATTTCAATCTTATTAACTAATTGTAACTGTTTTAATCTTTAATTGTAACGCCACTGATAATTTTAAATTTGTAAAACTCATCTTTTTGTTTCCCTATTTTATCGTGTTAAACCAAATTATTATTTTGAATACCCAATACCCCTTCACACGATGTGAAATATAAAGATGGGGCTCTATTGTTTTAAAAAATTTTAAACTGTTTGTTTTCGTCCCCATACTTTTTATAAATTGACTGCATCAGAAGATGGAAAAATTGTATTTTCCGCTATATATATGTAGTGCTTAAATTATAAAAAATTAACTCCATTTGACCGAAAAAACCAAGAAACTTTTTATTTATATTTTCGCAATTAGCTAATAAATTAAATCGAATTTATGAGTATTTTGTTTCGTATATTTTTAAAAATCTGTCTGGGCAATCTAAAATACAACTTCCTTGTTACACGTTTATCATCACAACAAACCGAAAATACTCGTATCCCAAATTTATAAATGTAATCCAGAACTGATCCTCCATAGCAAAAGCAAAATAGATTTTTATGTAGTACAATGACCGAAGGAAACAGAGTATAGATTTCTCTAATAGGTATATAATTTTTAATGAGAGTTAAGAAATATGATACAGGGCGTGATAAAATTTATGTAAAATGCACTTGCAGTAATTTACAACATATTTTAATTATTTTTTTGTTATATTTGTATCGTAATATTTTATTTGCGGCTTAACTAAATGTTTTTTCTAAATCTAGATGATATTGAAAGCACTTTTTTTTACTGTCAATTTCTAAAAGAATAATAATTGCAAACTACAAAAGAAAAAAAAACAATAATAGGTAACACAAAATAATACTAGCGGTCGTTTCTTTCCCTCTATAGAAAACAATTGCTCTTTTGGCAAATATCACAACGGGCATTAGAGTATATTCAAAGAAAAACAGTAGAATAAAAAATTATTTTCAACGCTCTAATTTAGATTTTGTTTCCTGAGAAGAACGTTATTCTTGAACCAGTTTCGTCCTTAATAAGACTCGTCAGAAAGGAATTATCGCTTCCAAATGGGAATGTCTATTTCTTGCTGATGAATACTAATAAGGGCGAAACTGATCTAGAATGACGTTCTTCTTAGTAATTAAAAACCAAAGTGTCAGTGTTTCCAAAGGAAAACGGTCGCACATATTATTTTTTAAGTTTGGATTTATTTTGCTTTTATTATATTTTAAAATAAAATTGGTTTATTGGGCTCGTTTTGCAATATTTTACTCTTTGAAAGATATCCTTGGTGTCCCCGAACAGTACCCAAGACTGATAAACTTTCTGCAGCATACCAACCTGTATAATTTAATTTAATTTTTAGAAAGTTGATATTATGTATCTACTAAATTATAGTTTATTATATTTCATCGTATCGTGTCAATAACCATAGCTGTTGAGACACGTTAATTGTTAAATAATTTTTTTTTAAATCTTTATAAAAAAATACCCTACACTAGGCCATGAATCAATTTTGAAACAATTTCAGTACATGGATAAAACACTGTCAAATATAACTACACCTTGTTAGAACCTCAAAGGGTTCGTCAAAATGTCTGATTATGGTGTAGCGTGCTCACCAGCGCCCGTGATTTATAACTTCTTGATTAAAAATAGGCCGACATTAAATAAAAAAGGTATGTCACACAAACATAATTATTTAACTTGCACAACTATAGAAAAACGAAAGAAAACCAAATCAATTTTTAGAACCTCGACTGCGTTTGCATTTCAGAGAAATAAAAAAAAAACAGAAATCGGATTGGTAGTAAGTTGTCAACATATTTTTATATGGTTTTAAATGAATTCATATTACTTATATTTTCCTGTGGAATTGGCAGGCGTTAGTTTTTCAAATACAGTGAAGTACAATAAGTACAAGTCAAGGAAAAATAAGCGTAATAGTTGTTGATCGAGCCAAGTTATTTCTGACACAGTGTACAGTGCATGTAATTAGAAAATAAAACACACACATAGTCTTGGCGGTTCCGCTCAAATTCACAAATTAAAAATTTGTTAGCAAGGCATGCAATTATTGGTTGATTTCTTTTTATCTAAATTTTGTCTTAAGAATTTCAGTGGATTTATCGGAAACAATCATAGCGATTTTTGTATTATAAGTAATGTTTCCGAATACCACGCGAGATAAACATTTTTTGTTTTATAAATTATGCAAATTTCACTGAACATATCCTGCTGAAATACCAAAATTTATCCTTGATAATTTTCATTAAATATTTATCTTATTCTCAATGTTCGTGATTTTGTTCAGATTTTCTGGGTGTAACTTTTGGAGATTTGGTGAGACAGCAATTTTTATGCGTTGTTTCTAAAAAGTGTTAACGAAAAAGTAACTTAAGCGAACGTATTTTATATTTTTAAAATGGTTCTTCAAAGAGTTTTCGTTTAACATCCCAGAAGATAACAGAAATTTTGTTAACATTCAATTTAAGCCTCCAAAACTGATTACCAAGATAAAAAATATACCTTTATAGTTAACGCATGTATTTGGGACACTATTTACAACAATTGTTTAAAATTTAAATTGTTAACGTCAAATAATCTTAATAAAACGCCTCTGGGACAGACGAACAGGCAGACACCTATGTAATTCTACGAGTTCCTTTTTGCCAAATTATTGGGGACAGAATACTTGGTAGATTGGACCCAATTTTAATAGTGAATGATGCACAATGTTCTGAAGACCCCTCTTTTATTGTTCGTTTCAAGTACACATATTTGAATTTTATGTATTATTTTATAATTTCAGAAATTAATGAATGAAATTTAATAAACGAGATATTGTTGAAAAAAAATTTTATACGATTTAAAAAAGATGTGCAACAAAAAGTGACAAGGTAAAAAGTTGTGATGGTACAAGTTCTTAATATTTTGTACATCTCCATATATTTAAGATAATAAAACAAAAATCATTTTTTCAATACAAAAGTTATTTATTCAATCCTTTCATTATTCGTTCGCTAATTCCAACAGGCTAAAGAATTGCTGTCTCGTCAGAATTATATTCCATACCTTGTTCTCAATGATCATAGGTAGTACTCCCTTTCCACGCTCTGTGGTCACGTATTTTTGAGTCTAAATACCCTCAAAAGTATTTAGAAAGTTGCAAAATAACTGGTTGTCCCAGTCCTTCCCACCTCTGTTCCCGTCCCGCGGTAGTCAGATACACTCTTACGTCATTCTTTCTTTTTCGTGCACTTGTGGTTAGGGTCCGATTACAATTAGAAGAACACAACGTCCTGCAATATATTAACCGTTGGTTGAAATTAAGCCCATATCATAGAGTAGATACCACTGTATTTAAGTCGCATTTTACACGTCGTACCTCTACATATGCTGCTAATAAATTGGGAATTAGTATTGGTATTGACACAATTAAACATACATCAGATGGACAAAAAATTACCACGTCCAAGAGATTTTTCAAAAGTAGCATATTTCGTTGTTTTTTGTCCATACTGTAACGTTTAATTCATAGAAATAGAAATATTTTTTTTTTATACATATCACTAAGACTAAGACAAACCTTCCATCTATGATCCAACCCAAATTTCGCGAACACGAATTGTGCCAGTTATCCGAAACCTGTTGGACTATTTGGACTTCTTATGATTAATTAAAAAGTTTTTAACGATATCTCTCAGTCTGTGCATTAAAAATCAATACAACAGGAATTTTTGTCCAACTATTTCGATTCTAATTTTGTATTCCCCATCGAAGAGTTTATTTTTGTACTTTATTTACAACAAAACTGCATCATAAAACAGAAGTGTTTATGCTGTTCCGTGATCGAGAGTCCAGTGAAAAATAGTTTCAGTTTTTAACCCATGGGAAAGACACATGAAGTAGTTTTGAATTTGCAGAGATCTTCCCCCGACGAGCAATGGGGTTTCAGTTTGGTCGGAGGGGCCGACGTTAAAACGCCACTTATTGTAACCAGAGTGAGTCTTTGTTTATTATTTTAAATATATAAAGCGATAAAGAATTTTAAAATCAACGGTTTTTAGCAATAAAAATAATGACAATTTGTGTTTTGTTGCCAAGTTAATTTTAGTGTCTCACAGTTGAACTTGTTGCATGGAAATAAGTTTGAAACTTGAAATTTCAACTTTTTTTTCTAGAATCATTGTTTGCTTTTATGTGTTGTTAAATTTTGTCAGCGGCTTGTCAAAAATGTCAATTCAAATTTTAATGCTTTTTTCCTAATATTGAACGAAGTGTTGCCTTTCATTTTCTTTTCAAAAAAATAAATGTTAATCGATAAAAGCAAGCAGAATATATTTTTAACAGCTTTGAACCGGGCAGTGTTCTGCATTATAATAAATATTTTAATAATTAATAAATTCTTTAAATGTTAGTAAACATATCCAGTGATTTCCGTCGGATATTATGTACGTACCTCCCCTTTCATAAAAATTATTGTTTAGAAGCTTTCATATTTGCCTATCTTTTTAGTTGGGTAACTAAACATTGATTGATTGATTGAACTGAGTACAAACAAGTTATTGAACAGTAAACTTGAAATATATCAACGATTTGAAATTTGATTTATAGGTCTAGATATATAAAATTTATCAATAATATCAGAATATCCATAGCTATATTGGAACTGTGAATATTATATAAAGTAATAAAAATCTACTGATGAAGTTAGAATCTCTAAAAATATATGGTTACCGAAAATTAATCGTAATTGTACCTGACTGAACATTTAGTTCGTTGTTCTGTTATTTTGTTGTTTTATATGTGTAACAACAGTAAATATATTATATTTGTCTGAATAATCCTATACAGATAAACACTAGTAAAAAAAATTATGTAAGAATATTTCAAATGCCAAAGTAACTAAAGTGACCCGGAGAAGTTGGCATAAATACATTGTTACAACGTTCATAATAATTCAAAAACCATTGCTCAGATTTGTAAAGGAAAAATAAAGACTTATTCTATTACATTTTAAAAAATATCTAATCTATCAACACATAAAGGGTGTTTGTAAATAAGTGTGAAAAAAGTTATTTTGTCAAATATCAAAACGGGAAAATGTCAGTGACGCACCATTTTATTGGTTTAAAAATTAATAGATTCGGTTTTCCAACAAATTCTACGGTCCCAAATATGAAATACAAGTAACTTTCTCATAAGTTACAACTTTGGAAACTGATTTTGTTTTAAACGCAATATAATTTAAAACGACAAAAATTATCGAAAACTTACAATGGCTTTTTTGTGAAAATGTTATCCAGAAATGCACTCAAGATCGCACTAATGTATAAATTAGAGAAAAAAAAACGTGGAAACTTAAAATGATTTGTTTATAGAGCAGGTGCACCGACATCGTAAACATACAATAAAAAAATAAATATAACTATTATAAAAACAAAATAAAATCTAACTCTGGAAATACAAATAAATTATAGAAAGTGGTGAAAGAATACAGTAGTAAACCCAAAAAAGAAAAAATAGTAGAAGACGGTAATAACATTTGAAATAAGGATGATGAAATAGCTGAATCATTCAATAACTTTTATGCAAATATAATGGAAAAGTTAGCATCCAAAATTTAACCTAAAAATTACAAGCAAAAAAACTGCCAAATTATATAAAGGTCCATGTTTTTAAAAGACGCATCACCCAAAGAAGTAAAAGAAAAATTTAAATCTAAAAAATAAAACATCTCCAGGTACCTACCGATAACATTAAAAATCTGATGTGTCCAACACATTACTTTCCTATCTAGTTATTATAGGCTTTTTCCGGTTATTTTATACAACCTATTGCAGCACCTCTATAAATGTTTAGAGAATAAACTAAATATATACATTTTCCACATACACCTGACTCGAAACATTTTTCTATATTCATTGAAAACGAAAACACTGAAAAATTTAAATTTAGCACTTTTCCTCCAATTTTTCCATTACGTTCCATTTAAAAAAGATTGATATCGCATTTAGTTTAGCAATTTTCTTAAAAATTAGAATTTTGCACATTTTGTCAAATTTCTCGAATACGGCATTTCAGGAAAATTTGGCATAAAACAAAAATTATAGATAATAATATTAGAAGTAACTTTTATTTAATCAATTTTCTTCTCCAAATTTAAATAATTCCATAAAATATAAAAATGACCTCATATAAAGTACCCCCCAGATGTTCCGACTTTATCCAAAATCTAATCATTTCACCTCAGGCCAAAATAAAACAAGTTTAAAATTTAATGTTTTTTCCTCTATCCATTTTTGAGTTTTCTTCAAAATTCGTAATTTACACATTTTCTCAAATATCTCGAATACGGTCTATTTTAGAGAAATTATGTATAGGATAAAAATTATAGAGAATTATATTACAAACAACTCTTATTTGAATAATTTTTGTCAAATTTTTCTAATACGGACCATTTTAGGAAAATTTTGTAAAGAATAAAAATTATAGATAATAATATTGCAATAGTTTGAAAATTAGTAATGCATTATGTTAAACAATATTGCTAACTTTATTTTAAATATTTATATTATTGTTATGAAGTGTCACATTTTATAATACGTTACAGGTTTTTTATCCCGATAGAGGGCGCTAAAATTAAAAGTATTACAATAAACAGTCATATTTCTGACTTCCCCATAAAATTACCTTTTCAATGATGTGCCGTACATGGTACACATTTATTTAAAATTAAGGGGTTGGAGAAGTGGAAGGGAGGGGGTTGACATATGACAGATATCTGTATTGTAAAATTGTATTCAATTTGGAATAAAAATCGACCTGTTTTAGCATTTTCTATAAATATAATGATTAATGCCGAAAAACAAGATGAAACTGTTTTGAGTGACTCACTCTGTATATCAAAAATGGCTAGATTTATCGAATTAGTTTATAGAATAAAATTTGCTTAAAAATGCATTTTTTCCAGATCCTCCCATCGAAAAAAAAAAAAAATATTGAGCGCAGCGCCATCTACATATTGACCTATTTAAAATTAATTTATATCTAAAACTATAGCTCTCTTAGTGCTTTATGAATTGGCTTTTACAGAATTAAAATATCTCTATTAGTTACCAAAATATCAGACCTGGGAGTTTTTATTGGTACCTGTATATATCGTCTTCACTATCTTATTTAATCAACAAAACTTGTCAAGTTCCCTCACAAATTTAAAAGTGGAGTAATTATTCCAATCTTCAAAACGGGACAAAAAAATTTTTGTTAGATAAACTATGAAACATCGGTATTAGGGGCAATATCGAGATCTTCAAAATATTTCTACCGGATAGAAAGCAGAGAGTAAAAATCAATATGCATCTTAGTGAAGAAGGAACTTGTAAGTAAGGTGTACCACAAAGCACAGTTCTGGGTCCTGTACTGTTTGCAATTTACATAAACGAATTACTTATGAATCTAACTTACTTGTGTATAAATATAATAAACTTAATGAAGAAAACATACTCTTGGAAAGGTCTGTGAAATATCTTGGCATCTACATTGACAGCTTTTTAAAGTGGGACATAAATAAATAAAAGCAATTTGTAAAAAAACTAAAGGGTTTCTTTCTACCATTTCGGAAATTTTTTAGCATTGTCGCATCAAAAAATTTTATATTATGGTTTAGTAAAATCAATTCTTCACTATGGTATTCTGGGGTAGGGAGGAGTTCGAAAAACACACTTAAAACCATAAGAAATCCTACAAAAACGAATAATTAAAATAATTTTAAACAAACCAATAACCCATCAGATTTTCTTTATAAGGCATTTTAGATATTCGTCAATTATTCTCATTAATCTCTCATAATTTATATTTTCAATAATAAAAAATATTTAAAACCTTTATACCACTTTCATAATACGCGAAATGCAACTAACGCTTTTATGCATAGCGCCTGTAAAACGATCGGCCAAAAACACTTTGCTTTTTTAACGCCTAGATTTCAAAAATATATTACCTTTTAATTGAAAATCTGAGTCTATACAGTTTTAAAATAAAATTAAAACAATGGATCTTATCGCAAAATAAAAAAAATCTTCCATGACATTATTGATCTATCTTGATTTATAACAAATAATGTTAAAATTTAAAATAATTACTGATTCTAGTATAAAAAAAAATATAAAAAAATCATTTTTTAGATTTATGTAAGAAAGTAAATTTTTTGTCACAACTTTTTTACATGTTTTATGTTTCTTTAATCTTGATCATTAAAAGATTCGTATTCTTATATTTTTTTTAAATTGATAAAATCTATTTGATAGTCTTGATCTAACATTTTACGAAGTGAATTTATCCAAGGTAAAATTAAATGCGTAGCAGATGTTTTATTTCGAACTATAAAAATAGTTCATGTTCAAATCAATGATATAATAAATCCAATTTAAGGGCACCGCTTACAATCATTCCTAGAAGGTGATATTTATTTTTACACACGGCCAAAATATAAATTAATTAATTATACGTAGTAGTGAATCATAAAGAAATTGTTTTAGCGATGATTTAAAACTAAATTTTCCTTGTATTTAAAACCTAAATGTCAATAATGAATCACTTTCATTTTATTTTGTTCTATTTATAAGAAATGTTTTAAATTATATATAGCTCTCTATATTTTTTATAGTTTCTTGTCTTCTGAGAATACAGTATCAACATAAAAACATTTACGAAATACATTTTATTAAGATTTTTTCGTCCATATTTAAACAACAACCAACTAGTCTAAAGAACCACTGCTGTCACCAAATGTATCAACTAACTATTCTAAAGACCCATTTTTAACAACTAATAGGTCTTCAACTACAAATATTATTATTGTCACCAGCCAAAGGGTCCTAAAATTCGAAAGGAACATCCATTCATCAATGGCAAATAAAAATAAAATAAGTTATCCTTTAATAGCAAAGTCCTTAGAGGTAGAAACGCCGAGGCTTCACATGTACTCGAAATATTTCATAGCTGATTTTGGAAAGGGGAGAAAAAAATAATAAAAAGTGAATGAACAGTAATTATGTATATTTAAAATGATTACAAAATGACTAATAGTCTCAAAAATAAATAATTTATATTCAGAGAATAACGCACTATTTGATAATATGTCCAAACTTTTTGATAACGACTTAATTGATATTTATAATGAACAACCTATGATTCCTGACAGCTAGATAACTTCCTATTACTATCATTGAATAAATAAACTATATAATATGATAAATATACCGATAATCCAATACGATTATGCTGTGTATTTGGAAAATTTGTTGATCTTTTTAAGCGCAGTTTACAATTTTAAAACAAGATTTTTGTCGGATATTTTGTTAAATGAATTATACGTAATAAATAATGATTTGTTAGTTTGTGAATAAAATATTTTTTTGTTACAGGTGGGGTTCGGATCACCCGTAGAGGGTGTTCTTCACAGGGGTGATATCATCACCAAAGTTGGAAACTATGATTCAAGGGACATTCGCCACCAAGATGCACAAAATCTGTTTAAAGGTGGCAACAACATTCGAGTGGTAGTACAAAGGTTAGTTTATGTTAATTAATGATGATGAACTGTGATAAAAGTGATAATAAGGGTAGTTTTGTAACCTAAATTTGTGTTCGAACCTTATTTTGTAATTAATAATTATTCCTAATTTTTTTATGAAACTTAGTATTAATTTAAAAGTTTCTTTGTCTTCACATAAAGGATTTACCATTTAAAACGAATTAAACGAAATATCTAATGGTTTGCAAATTGAAGTAATCTCAAATGTTATACTATATTAAAAAAAATTGCACATATTAATTACAGCATGTAGTATTAAAATAAGTCTCATATTTTTAAACTATTAAAACCATATATTTTCAAAATTCTATTGAACTCCTCTTTCCAAATTGTGAATCAAATAGTAGGTGTCCAATTTAAAAATATAAGTTTTTGGAATATTATGTGCAACATAAAATATTTTTAAGATGTATAAAATAAAATATAAACCAAGACAATCTTCCGAGGCCTGTAACATATATTTTTAATGTATAAAATATATACTTATTGTTGTTTTTATTTCTTATCAATAAAATTATTAGCAACATCAGAGACATTTTCAGAAAAATAACAGACATTCTTGTGTCTTTGCCAATCTATATGTCTAGTAAATTTTATTTGAATCAGTTGAAATTATGTTTCAATATTTTACCAATAAATATGTGTTATTTTAGTTGCTTCTATCATTTTTGATGGTATAAATATAATAATTTTCGGTATTCGCATCTTAAAAAAATGTATCACGACGAATGTTTTATAATATGTAAAACTAGGTAGATACGTTTTAAATTAAAATTTAGTCACTAATTTAAAATTTTCAGTCTGAGAATTTGAAAATATGAAAAATCTGAAGAACTTTCAATTTGTGTAGGTTACCCCAGAACAAAACTGTAAACAGTTCATTTTTTAAGTCCTCTTTAAAATGGAACATCTTACAGAGTACTGCACTATGAATTGGCTGAGTTACAAAATTTAAAATGATATTCAGTCACGTGGTTGTTTATAACAAAATAGTTACTTTTAATCTAAACAGGCTTATTTTTATCATCTACAATTTATTTATTTAAACGAACATATACCCTTTTACAATATGTACAGTATCGGCCACTAAACGTTTTCCAATACATTTTGTACGAGTGCATATGAAAACTACATAGAGTTAGCGTTAGAGCAAGCAGGAAACGAATAATATCAGTGTTGCCAGTTTATACGGCCCAACCAATGTTGCTGTTTCCTGCGTTGCTGGTTCCTGCTCGTTGCAAGTGTAACTCTCTGTAGTTTGTAATATTCTGTAATTTTTTAATAAATATTTATTATTTATAGCAAAATTGTAAAACAATGCAAATTTGAGATTCCTCAATTTTTAAATTTACTATAGTACTTATTGATACCTACAACGGCATTTTGTTTGATCCGCTTTCAGAGAAAATGCCCCTAGGAGCACAGGTTCCTCAAGGACAAGCTCGCACAACTACAGCCCGCTGTCAGTATCTCCACATTTATCACCTAAAGGATCCATTCCTTCGGGATACAGTCCGGGAGGATCAGCTCTAACGCCAATGTATTCTTCGCCCCTAACTCCCATCGACAACAATTATTTTGAAACTTACGAATATGAACCGAATAGAAAAGATAACAGTCAACAAGAAGTTCACGTCACAAACCAGGTAAGAGTCAAAAAATAGTTGTATAGTTTTGATACAATATTTTATTGGTAAAAATACAAACAAAAAGAGAAATATAAATATGGTGTAAGACAAATTAATTTTTCTTCGCGATGAACAAGAAAGACCTTCATGTTCAAGGAAAATTGACACTGTTGGATTTGTAGGTTATTAAAAGTTGAACCCAACACAGTATTAATTTTGTGTGAAATTGACCTACGTGTAAGCACGCTCCTGTAATTTCTAAATCAACTCTAATATGTCTAAAATTGGTAAGAAACTGTAAATTTTTTTAATGAAATCAACCGGAAGCATTTTTTGAATAGTACAATAAAAACAGACAATAAAAAAAACTTAAAACTTTATTTTGACCCAAATTATTAAGAAACTGTGAAGAAATTTAATGAAATCGGCCAGAGTAAATTATAATTCATTACATTAGTTTGTGGAAGTCCAATATTAAATATAAAAGTTTTTTGGTTTACAGAGTTGCCTATTGTAAAAATATTGGATGTACTACAAAAAGCAAGGCAACATAAAATAGTATATTATGCAACGATCATGTAATAACCATTACATGAGAGTTGCATACGCTATTTTTTCTACACCCGATAAATAATCAAGACCTATAAATATTCTATTTATATTGGTATTGAACACAATAACAGTAATTACTCGTATTTCTATAAAAAATTCTACAAAATTGTAATTAATGGTATTACCTTGGGTACTGGTATTACCACAGATTTTTGGGGCAAAATATTTTGTACTGCATTTTCTCCTTTCTCCTATATGTGTGGAGGAGTGTTCTATATCGCTGATATCAGACATTTTAATATTATAATTATCGAAGTTTAGCTATCTACGAAAATTGAATACGTTTTGACAACTAAAACAATTACATAGGAATTTAGGACAAACGTCAAACATCATGCTTGATTGAAAAATTGTAGGTTTCTATTGATTAAAAATCTGTATCATAATGAAAAATCTGTATCATAATGGGTATCATTATGAAACGGATTATGGGCATATAAGTGCATTATTATAATACGGGTGTAGAAAAACGTTTTTTTTTAAATGTATATTATTTTTTAATGCTACTAAAAAATCTAAGTATTTTTTTCTAAATTCAGTTGTTTTCAAGCTTTTGACATTTGAAAATTGATTTTTTTTACACTTTGATAAACTGTAGCACCCAAACGCCTAATGTAAGAGTAATAAAATTATTTACATGTCCTTGTTTTAGTTTTTCATATCCATATCTAGATATTCCGACCTTTGGTTTAATTGAATCTAAAAAATATAATCTAATTTCCGGTTAAACAAGAAGTAGGTTATTTTATTACATGTTATTAGTATAAACTAAAAAACTGCCTTTTCTCTCTCAGATCACTCATTTGTTTCAAACTGTTTACGGTAATTGGCCCATAACATCTTTCCGTCGAAAGTTGGGACTTTAACACGAGCAGAGTTTACAGTTCCTTCCAATTTCAACTTTGACTCTACCTCACACCACTTTATTTCATCGTCCTTGGCCTGTTCTGTATATTCCATTTTTTTCTACCTCTTTTTCCATTTCTTTTATTTTCTCCTCAGCGGAAGACATTATTTTATTATCGACTGATGATATCTTATTTTCCATATAAGAAATTTCAGAAAACACCTTCTCTTCTAAGGAAGAAGTGTTATTTTTTATGGAAAAAATATCAGCAATAATTTCAGTTTTTATAGAAGACATTTTGTTTTCCTCCAAGTCGGAAGAACATGGGCGAAGTTAAGGGGGGGCTTGGGGGGGCTAAGCCCCCCCAAAAACCAAATTAGCCCCCCCAAAAATAATTAGAACATTTATCGCACATCCACCCAAACATTTCAGAACAGAAATTAAAAAATAAAAAGAATCGTGCCATTTGATTGATTCTGCAATTTTACATTTAGTTCAGGAGGCAGTGAATTTTTTTCGTATTCATTTTTCCAGTCGGTGTATATGAAAAATAAACTGTTCTCTTAGTAACAAAAAACAAAATTTTTGAGTTTGACACTTATTTTCCCAGTCATAACTATTTTACATTTACTAAACTAGAACATAAAGCTTATAAAAATAGCAGTTTGGATTATCTCAGATAGTGGAAAGTGAGTGTGGCAGAAAATTGAGCATATAAATTGATACAATCATGAACTGTTTATAATAATAAGTCTGGCTGATTTACGAAATTGTCTAATGAGTCTGGTAATATCTTCTAAATGGAAAACATAATATTTTTGCTTTTATTTTCCCGGGTTTGAAAATTTGTCACGTGATAGATTAAATTATAATTTTACACCTCCATTTTATAGCCAATCAACTGCTGTTATTTTAAAACACTTCCATGACAACCAGAAAAATTTCCGGAAATTTTTCTTTTGGTGGGTACCCTGAACGAAATTATACTGAAAATTTTTTTGACAGTTGAGCAGCTCTTACATGCATATAAAAAATTTGCCATTTCAGTGGTTAATATTTTATTTAATACCAATTATAACTCGGTAGAAATACACTACATTTATTTTATGTAAAATAATAATTAGGTTTTTCGCGTCAACTAAACGACTTCAAATATGACAAATGGTCATGGTATGGCCACAGCATATTCTGTGGTATGGCTACCTTTAAAAATTTGATTTTAGTCGTTTTAATGCATGTCTGTCAAGTTTTAAAATTTGGATATTTTGGTGTAAAACTTTCTTACCCAATACCAAAAGTGCCTAAATTATTATCAGTAAATTTTTGCACACTCACGCATATTTTAAGAACATTATCCATCTACTTAGGATAAATTTCAAAATATTCGTAAGTGAAAATACACGTCTGGCTGACAATTACAATTACAGAGGCCTGCCAGACTCACAAGTAGTGTCCGACCGAAGGTTCGGTTACGGTTTCGGTCAACTTTAGCTTTAAATAATAGTTTCGACTACAGTTTCGGTTTCGGCGGAAAACTGGCCGAAACTGCAGCCGACAGCGAAACTACTTTTAAAAGTTTTCGTATCACAATTGGTTGTGTCCGGCGCAATGGCGACTGTACCGAGTGCCATTCCTACACAGTGCACGACCACGTACACACAAACTTCTCTGCTTTGTTTCAAGTGAACATGTCAATAAATTTATTAATGGCTTCTTTTGATCACATAAATAAACAGGTAATAAGTAAATGTAGCTAAAATTTATAATACGAGTTAATTAGTCTAAAACAAGGATTACAATGAGATATTGCAAATTTCAATAAGAGATTGCCTTAAAAGAAAGTTCTTGTTTCTGTTTCGGCCGAAACTAAGAAAGGAGCCGAAATTTGGTTTCTGTTTCGGTTATAAAACCGTATTTCGGTTGGACCTGACAAGCCAGGTAGTTAAACGAGGAGAGGAATAGTAATCGAACGTGCCGAATTTAGCGCGCCTGACGGTCATTAGACGAGTCTGGCAAGGCTTTCGGGGTGTTCCACATTAGCCAGATTGTATTTTAAGCTGTTATCATAATATACATTTTTCTAGTAGTGAGAACACTTGTAACAGGGATCCTTACTGGACATTGCCAACTAAAATTACACCTTAGTAAACTGAGAGTAGTAGCAGATTTTGTGAGGAGGAGGAAAAAATCTTCATTCACATTCTAACTAAATGTGTAGCACTTGAGAATCCAAGGGCACTATACCTAGGAGCATATCAAATAGAAGAGGGAGATTTACCTAACTTGAAGCCACTCCAAATCCTACACTTCCTTGAGAAGGTATTATAATCGGAAGGCTCTTTATTCGCGATTCAAGCTAAGTGATACGTCCTCTGGAGGAAATTTGTAGAAGGTCCCTATAAGTAGGATATCGTTCAGTGTTGCCAGAAGTAGCAAAATTTCTCTACGTTGTCGGATTTTAGCCCTTGAAGAAGTGGATAAGACCTTTTATTTAAGAATCAAAATTTGTGTATAGTAATATGTAATCATACTCTATATTTATTTAAGGACTTTTTTATAAAACCGATTTATTATATTAATTTTTTTTTAATTTCAGTTCATTTATTAATTTTGTTTTAAAATCAGTTCATCATTTGGCAACGAGTTCATTGTTTACATTTTAATTTGTATCAATTACAATTCGAGTTTTTCTTACTTTTTAGCTTTAAATTTGTTTATTTCTTATAGTATGTGATAGTGTTTATGTTAAAAATGAAATCTGCGAAAAAGTCCCCAGCAAATTGCAATCTATATGGTGTTAATGTCAAAATCAAAACTGAAGTATTCATTATTTTCCAAGTGCAAGTCGTAAAATTTAGTTTTTTACCATAAATGGATATCTACAAATTCACAATATTGAAATTTTGCAAAACTTTGTTTAGAATCGATATATGATATTTTATCCATTTTCATAGATTCGCCAGAATTTTTTTACTTAACTTCAGTAGGTATACCTCTAGAACTATTATATATTATATGACTAGGGCTTTAGCCCCCCCAGATCTAATGACATAACTTCGCCCATGCGGAAGAAACTTCATTTTTTAAAGAAGAGATATCGGAATAGATTTTATCTTCTGAGGAAGAAACTTTATTGTCTAAGGAAGAAATGTCAGAAGAAACGTTAGTTTCTAAGGAGAAAATATCATTTTATAGAGGAAACATCAGAAGATACTTTAGTCTCCAATGAAGAAATGTTAGAGGAAATATCAGTTTTCATAGAGGTCATCTTACTTTTTTGGACGAAATTGAAGAAATTATAGCAGAAGATGCATTATTAAATTATACCTGATAATTATTTTCCGATGCACTATTTTATAATTATTGTTGCACAAAATGTTCCTAAACCGTCCCTGAATCTTGTTTACAAAACGTGCAAAACGAAATTGTGCATAGTGTCTATACTTTTTTATTGACTGTTATCACTCTACCCTTCTCCACTTCATTGATTTATAACTCACAATTCTAATTTATTTATTACAATTTATCTTTACTATACAACACTTATATTGAATCTTAACATCTACCGACAAACTCGCGCTGTTTATACAAAAATAAAATAGTCTATGAAGAACCAACTCTGACTAGAAGTTCTGGAAATTATCCTCCACGCGTCACACTGCGATAGAAAACATTCGAGTCGGTTTCTCGAGTTTCGAGGCGGGTCTTGATATGGCCAGCGCTAGAGTTCATGTCGCGGGTACGGTAGTAAACAAAGAACAGAGCCGGCTTCAGGCGATCTCACGACAATATATATTCTAAACCTTTCTGAATCTTAATTATGCCCGCCTAATGATTGACCATTTTTTTATAATTGAAATTCTACAAATAACTGTTTTTATATAATTTACCCGTTTGAAATTAATTTAAGAGTTGCTTAAAAAAATCCAGTGTGCGTTCCAACATTGTCAATCCTATGGTGCATGTAATTTAAAAAAAAAATTTACTTCGTGGGGCAGCGGGCACTCGGCCTTTAATTTTTTTTATATTTTTGTTACTGAGAATGATCAAATCAAACATGTGCAAACGATGGTCAAGCGCATACCACCTTTAAAACTAAAATTTTCGAATTTCGGGGGTCTGTTTCACAAAATTTTTCCAAATGCCTTAAAATACTAGCACGACGATTAAGAAAAATTCATATATACGTCATTTTAATTTTCACTGCGTAGCGATCAAGAAATGTGCGTCAATTTTCCAATTCCACTACTAAAGTTAAATTAGCCTTCACAAGTTAATATTATGCATACAGTAGGTATCATTAGAGAAATGGGAAATTTTAATATTATAAATTTATGGTGCAATAGCCTGCCCAACAAAACATGTAGGTAATTTGGCGTCGCAACGCCCGCCCACATTCAGTTAGTAGAAATTTAATTGGAAGTCAATAATTATTTTCAGCTTAATATTAGATTTTTTCGCAATTATTTTAGTATTTAACATTTTTCCAGTACAAAGTTTTCTTTTTTAAAGAATTTGAAATATAAACGGTAAATCAAAAGATGTTTTGCAATGGATTGCACCGCTTTTCAGTTTATTTCTGAACTGCATATGTTCGAGTAATCTGTTTGAAAACTATATTCTGAAACGAAAAACATACATTTTCTCGTCTCGGTTCAATAAAAATAGTTGTTAATAAATTGCTTGAAATATTCCGGATAAATGTTTGTGTGATCTGATTTAATTCTACCTAAAATAAATAGTCTCATTTGAAATCTACTTCTTCTCAGTTCTAGTTGTTATTTATCGGTTTCACAAAGGAATTTCTAAGCAAGTTTGCAATCACATAAAATAGGTTTTACTCTAAATTTTTTAAAAATTTATGAAGAATACATGTTTATATTTATTACACCGTTACACATTCGAAAGCATTAAATGTATGTACGTTATAGATAGGTACCTTGAATACGTTTTTTTGAATATTTGGATTCTCTCAAACGATAAAATTAAACTTTGTGGAATGAAAGATCCAAACGTAGGTACTGTCGGTTCTACTTAGAACCGACAGTACCTACGTCGGACATTTGTCCACACACAGCTACGGAGTAGGTATGGATATCAAATACGGTGTCGGCGACTGAATTTCTTTTAATTATGTAAAACATAAGTAGGTAGGTACATGATAAGTACATGCGAAAGCTACATAGATGTTGAGTTTGGGTTTGGGAGGTGGACGGTGGATTCCTTATACTCTTTTCACTCCATAACTAAGTTCAGTCCATGCCAAATCATTGTAATTCATCAATGATGTGAAATTAGATATGGAGTGAAAATAGTAAAATGAGTCCACAAACCGAACATCGCTGGTATTGTTTCTTTCTTTCTTGCCCTAGTGCTGGCTCTATGTAGTTTTCACAAGCACTTGTGCCAAGGGGTATTGGAAGGTCTTTTCGATGGTCAATACTATGATTATATACAGAAAACAAAGATATGTTCATTAAAATGAACCATTTATTAAAATTGCTATCCTTTGTTGTCTCTTCTCAAATGCGCCAAAAATGGGAAGTGTTGGTGATTCCCCAACTGCGTGAACAGTATTCTACGGAAGCGTAGAAGGACCAAATTTTCTTAGTTTTTCGACATATAACTCAAAAAAAAGGTCGCCTGTGTGTATGTGCACCGTTAAGATAACTCTAGAATAAAAGTTCCGATCAACGTGCGGTTTTGACTTAATTATATTATTTCTTCAAGCCGAGAACCTTATTGATTTTCAAAATCCAACTATGAGTATTTTAAAAAAGCAATGTAATTCTTATGGACCTTATTTTATGCACTGCGACACTGGTAGTGGATGTTAAGATTTCAATAGATTACCATGTATGTCAACTATGAACCACGGACATTTTTTTCTGCAGGGTGTTTGTAAATAAATTCGATAGATTTTAGGAGGTGGTTGCCGGTTATTTTGTTCAAAAAAGTTCCTATAAACGTAGGTGGAAATATGCTTCGTTTCAGAGATACAGAGTGTTTAAATTTTAATTTTTATTAATTATTTCAAAGAGTTTTAAAGATTTTGAGTCGAAAATGCTTTGGAGAGTGCATTTTTTGGGGAGGTCTGAATATTACACCAGTGGCATTCGTGCAAGATTACAACTTTTTTTTAATAAAAAAAAAGGGTGCGTCACTGACTTTTTATAAGAACTTTTTTTAACAAATTTACTTCGGCAAGTCCCCCTAAAATATTTCGCACTTATTTACAACCATCCTGTATATCCTTGCCATTCTTAAAAGTTAATTAAACGAATGAAAGTTTTTAAAACGTATTTTAAAGGATTAAATTTGAGTCTTTATTTAATGTAAGCGAAAATGATAATTGTTTTAAGTTGTTCTTACAAGGATGATGAAGTAACTATAATTTTTGCACGAGTTTGAACAAATTCCAGAATTAGGTTAAAGGTAAAGGGAGCAAATTTTAATTTGATATATGGCCAAAAAATATGTTTACACGTTCAAGTATAAAGGCTAAATATTTTTACATGGGCAGACGTATAGGGTAAAAGAGCCAAATATTTTTACTTGAACTGACTTAAGGGGTAAAGGGTTCAAATATTTTTATATGAACAGGCTTAAAGCCTAAATGACGTTTATTTATTTTTGTTTCAATTATTACATATCGAGGTTTACGTAATGTTATTTTCTCATAACCTGCTGTTTACTTACAACGTAAAACTCACTTTTCTTACGTATCAGTTTTACGGGAGGGATTATTTTCGCAAAATTCAATTAGATCATCAGTTGAGGTAAGATTTTCAATGAGTTGAGATAGGTTCTGTGTAAAGCGATTAATTATGATCCTGCCACGAAATTACTTCGGTGATGCTTTCCAAACTAAACAAGACGAGGCGGCAGCAATGTGGGTAAGGACGGAGTTATGTTTAGATTTGGAGGTCATAGATATAGATAAATGTGCGGTCAAGTAAATCGGAAGTTACTTTACCGCGTTAATTTTTATATTTTCTTTTGTACTTTTTAGTTTTAAAATGTAATAATCTATTGAGTCATCCATTCTAAAGTTTACTATTTTAAATATATTCGGTGATTCAAACTAATGAATATGTAATCTGTTAAATGTTGAAAAAAATTCCTGAGAATAAGAGAATAACTACCTATATCATTTCAAGTAGGTACGTTTCGGTAAAACAAATACGAGTAAACATTGAATATAGCAAGAGTATAAATCAGATAATAAACTTCGAGTATGAAATCAGAACCCTATTAAAAACTCTTAATAGTATTTTGCGAGATATATGCTTAAATAGTTACAACGGGATTAAATTATAATTATTACCAAGTGCGTAATTATTTTTACCACAATAGTAGATATCTATTAATACGGCACAGAATGTCGAATTAAAGATTTTGATTAATGATCATGTTTTGGAGGTCCCTGTGTCCAAAGACGCTGTTTTCAAATCATACAGTAGTTTATAGTATCTTTAAAAATAAAATAAATAACACAATTATACATTAAAAATATAATTATTTTAGTTATCCTTTTATTCAAGGTTCTAAAAAGTTTTTAGCATTAAAATTATACAATCTATATTCTTTTAATTCTAATACTTTTATTTTATAATAATATTTTAAGTACTCTATTATAGGGGTGATTGTGTGATGAAAATGTAAGGTGGGTATTTGGTATAAAATTTTTTGAAAAAACGCTCCTCGAAAAAGTTACATCCCTCCGAAGATTTAAAAAAAGATGGTTTTCTTTTTTTATTTTCCCTGTAAATTAAGATCCGAACTATTATTTGTCTATAAAACTACAATTTTTGAAATATGAATTTTTTTTCACCCATGAAGTGTAGAAGTGTAGAAGAGGTTGAAATAGTCAATCCCTTAGATATTTTTTCTTACAACTTTTTTAGATAAAATTTTTTCTCTTACAAAAATATTGCTGAAAAGCCCAATTCATTTACTAACTTTTTTATCTATAAAAGTTTTTTCGAAAACTTAATCCGATTAAAAATCAAATTAGCATGATGGAATGATGGATAGCATTACGGTAATCGTACGTGGGCCAGCATGGATGGGGGTAATGTTGAATTGACAGCGTATTAACAGCATTTAGATTTTCTGAGAGCCATGGGGTAGCCATGTATGAATTATGATAATTTTTTTAAAAATAATCTTTATATATTACGACCGGTATTATTTACTTTTTTCGCCTTTAAAAAAAGATATTGTTCTACACAGGGTGATCAATAGAATACATATGAATATTTATGTTGAAACCTTAAATGTGATTTTTCCTACCTGTGTTTATATTTTTCCTATTGTTATTGATTGTGTTTTTCCTTTGTAGCCGTACCGTACTACCCCTCTAGTACTTCCCGGTGCCAAAGTGAAACGTGACCAAGGGCCTACGGAAAGTTACCTTCGTCATCATCCAAACCCTTCAGTACGAGCACCCCCACACCATATGGATTCTGACTATGCTTTAAGACAAAAGGTGAATACATTAATATAATAATTATGTATGACAGCTTTACCTTAAATGGAATAATACGTTGCGGCAGTTAATTTTTAAATCTTTACCCTTCATAAATTAAATGCTAAAAAATAAAGCCGAAAATTCCTAGTCTAAGGACCGAATTATTAATCTCTTGGTAAAGTTAATGTTTGTAATCGGCAGGATAAAATTTAACCTCATGTTACGCGTTATCAACATAATTTTAGCCCACTGGTACTTAACAAGTACAACATGACAACGTTGGATTTATTATCGAACAAATGTTGAACTTTTTAGATAGTCTAAACCTATTCACAAAATCATAATCATCTTAAAAATCATAATGATCCAGGTCTTTGATGTAAAATGTTATGTCTTCTAACGATTATATTTTAAAAATCTTCGATATCCTCTCTATCAGGGATTCCCAAAATGGTCGATATGGACATCTTGGGGTCGAAATCGGTTTTTCAGGGGTTGACATACGAAAACTGATTTTGTAACAATTGGTACCGTTATTTCGTTATTTCTAATATATTTAATAACATATTATTAACAAAACATACCTTATAAAATCAGACGATCATTAACTCATTTAATACATCGGATGACCAAATTACATCAAAATATAAGTGACCTATTCCTGTGTAGATCAAACCAATGTCACTTTCTCTGACCAAAGCCTAGAATATATATAAAGTCAGGAAGGAGGAATCCTAAACGACCTTGGAATCGCTATGGTATCTAATTTTGACAGTGAACTAGACAAATATGGCGACAAATGTTTCCAGTCTACCAGTGACGTACTGTCATAAAGGGGCGTAGAAAAGAAAATAATAAATTCTCATTTGCATATTATCTAAATTTACCGATTTCTCTCATTTTAAAGAATTGCTATTTTCTTGCGAGAAGTTTGCATTTTTTTTTATTAACCTTCATTATGTGAATAAATTTTACTTTAAAAATGCATGTTGGATGGGATAAATATAGGAAAATATTTTTGGGATAATTTATATAGGGATTGAATTTAAAAAATCAAACAATAATGTATTTAAAAAAAAATTGACTTTTTTACGTCTTTATTATGACAATGTCTTTATTAATCTACATTTTACAAATTATTAATGTTTCAAAAATAAATACGTAAGTTTTATCAAAGGTTTGTAAGTTTTTATAATTAAACCATCCAAAATTTTTATAAGAGCTGTTTCTATTAATAATTTTAATCAATTCCAGTTCTCTGCATTTTACAGAATAAGTGTGTCGTCTGAAAAACTTACAATATTTCCATCTGTATTTAAACGACAAATTATTTAAAATACAATTAAACAAGATAGGACCTAAGACAGTATATTGAGGCATACGATATGCTTTATTTCCTTACTTGAGATATTATTAATTTTATTTATGTCCGTTTTTGTAAATAACTTTGTAATAAATTATATAGGGTGCATCACATTCATACAATAAACTTCTATTATACGAAAAAAAAAAACGGCACATGATATAGTTAGTAAAGAATTTATTTACTTATATACTTCAATCGGACAACTTTATTGTTGGAACAGCTGTTGGTAGAAGTCTTATTCTTGGTTTTGAGGTTCGATCAAAACAATCTCACAATTTGTTTGTTACATGAATTCAAGCCATAACTTTGTTTTTTGAGAATCTTTAGGAAATCTGAAAATTGTCTACCTGGGATTAATTTATATAATTTGTAAATCTAGAATCTTTAAGAAACCTGAAAATTGTTTAATTTATAAATCTAAATTATACAATACATTATTCATTTTAACAACCACATAAATATCTTAAAATTGTATAAAAGAATTGTTTAAATAAAAGTATGTATACCCTATAAACCATGAGATTACGCCTAAATCACAGTTGATCGCAGACGCACTTACCATGTTTGTTTACAAATTTAAAACATTAAAAATTTTAAAAATCTTTAATGTGGTTGAAAATTGAGAGTACAAAATACTTGCTCATGAATTGTAGATTATTCCTTTCTACTTTTAACTATGCTGCTATATATGGGTCATTCTCAGTTAAGCCGTAAATTCGACGTCCATAACAAAAAATCACCTTTTTTAAAAAAATTTATTAAAAAGAATGTTATTTTCTCTTAAAACTCGTGCTCATATAATTGGTCACTCAAATTCATTTCTTAATTTTATTTAATTTAGTCACAATTTCACCTCAAAGTCGGAAAACATCTCTCCCCTGGCTTGTCCCCGGGCCGATTCTGTTTATTTATTTGTAATTTTAAGTACTTGAAAATCAAATAACTTATTTAAATTATACATTTCAACAAAATAATTTAAATAAATTATCGTATACAAGCAAGTAAAATTGCGCAATTTTTTTTTTTCTTAAAAAAAAATTACGTTTACTTTTGTCCCCCGTATTTTGCGTCTCGTCCCCTGGCACGCTTATTTTTGTGTAAAATCGGCATTTGTTTACTGACTTGCGGGAATTGAAGACCTTGAGCGAACGTTTTTGAGTGTATAGTTTGTAATCAGAGCCACTCGAACTAGGTGCGCAGTCATTTAGTCATTTATTTCGTTACTGGCACTCTGTACTTACAGTTGACAACGAGTGAACGGAGTCTCTCCCCTGGTACGTTTTATTTTTAAAATATTCATCTAAAAATTTTAATTCATTCGTATATTTACTTCTCGTTGTGTATAGATTCTAATTTTTCTTGGTTAATTTCATACAATAAATACATTTGTCATTATTTCTATTTTTGTTACTAAAAAGTATCTCCCCTGTTTATATCTCCCCTGTCTTGTAAGGGCCAGGGGAAAGACACGATATCCAGGGGAGATATGAAAACTTTAAAGACTAATTATTATCAATTAATTATTGATAAATAAAATTATAAAATGACTGAATAAAGTTAATACTTCAATAAAATGTTGTTTTCTTTCATAAAATAATGTTAAAATCCTTTCTCTAATCACAAAGTATTCTACTCTGTACATTAAGTCTCTCCCCTGGATGAGTATCTCCCCTGGCATCTTATAAAACGAGATAAAATCAATAAATTGACTGACCGTCTTGCAGGCACGTTTGAAATGATTGTTTTGGTCGAACCATTGTAAAATTTGATTTCAATTTCAAAATTTTTGTCGTGCCGCGTTTTATCAATAAGCGATTTACGTCTCAACTGAGAATGACCCATATACAAGACGAACAACTGACCATATTCACTTGTTTGTCTTTTAACGCGGAAAATTTAAAATTAACAGTAATTATTAACAAATTTTAATCACTAAAATTATAAACCAATTTTAGAAACCATTTATCATATGATAATGAGTCGTCCATAGTACAACATGGCTACCACTTCCGTCAGATCGATTAGATTAACGCGGACATAGCATGCTCCTTCCTGACTATATATGTTCTAAGGACCAAAGCATATAGACGACAAATGACATCTGAGTAAGAGATGATTGTGAGAAATAACGGTTACAACCGTTACAAAGTCGACGATGTCTAAATATCGACCTCAATTAATTAACAAGATTTTATTTGAAACTTTCAAGATAGTGTATAAGTTGTGTTACGTGTACCAATTTGTTATAAGAATTTTGAAAACATGAATTAAGGGTTTTTTGGGATGCTGATTATAAATGAGCCTTAATACCCTTTTCCCAAAAAAATAGAGCCTTTTTTACTCCCGAACACCGAACGCCAATGGTAAATAAAAATGCCAAATACTTCATTTTTCTAACATACAATCACCACCACAATTTGAAGAAAATCGCATTATTATAACTGAGATACTTATTAGGGTATACTCATGAAAAGCAGGACACACTGTATATCTCATTGCCAGAAAAAAAGGAAGAAATCCGTCGATAAACAACTTTTTGAATTTGGCAGATCACACGACATCTCCCACTACCGGGACATAGTATCTACATGTTTTCATCCTCTCCCCTGTATCCAACTACAAATAGCAGGCAAAAAAGACATCGTGTCACTTTTGGCAGATGAATAAGGGACTATTAAGGTTTTATATGTGGGTAAATTCAAAGATTCTTTATGAATTAGGCACAGCATAGTCAATAAAAACAAGATCAAACAAACCAATTAAGATTTTTTATTTTTTTAATAAAAAGTAGAATGTATCTAATAAAAATGGTGCGGGTAACTTTTATTTTAAAAATGGAGCCTTGCATTGTAAATCACACCGGAAACAGCTCCGATATATTCAATCAATTAAATTAATTTTCAGTAGTAATAACATTTTGTTTTGAATGAATGGGCGGCAAATAGGCTGTTTGGCTCGAGTAATCCATTATAAACGAAGCGGATTATGAGGTTCGTGTAAGTTACGAATATTTTTACCATCAAAAATAACATATGGGTCAAGATGATCTATTTTAAGCGAAAGATTTGCGCTCTCGCCTTCATGTTTATATTAAAAGTATCAGATTATCAGCAGTGGTCAAGTTGTGGTTTGTTACTAAGGAAAAAAACAAGTAATATAGATACACAGAGTGTCCCAGATTTTAAGTTATAGACTTTCAATTTTTTTATGCTGTATATTTAGCACAAATTTTTAAGTAAATGTAGTTTGAATTCGTACAAAATACCGTTCTTTGATGTTTTCTTGCTTGTGACCTTCAAGGTCATTTTAAAATCAAATTTGTCTATTAAATAGATTTCACTTGGGATAGACGAAGTCACAACGTTTAGGTAGACTTTATGAATGTTTAAAAATAAAAAGCGATTGAAAAAATAAGTGAAACAAAATCGTCGCTGTCATGCCTTATGTGATTTTTTGAACATAAAATAATTTTTTTAAGGTATTTTGCTCAAAACTGTGATTGGAACAGATGTTGTTTGGTAAATTACAATGTTTTTACAATCCTTTCGTTATGAAATGAAGGCCAAAATTTGCATTATATTTGATATCTTCTCGTAAAGTGGCAGCCACTAAATATTTGAAAAGTGTGCCAATTGAAGTCGGACGGGACTCG